TATGCATATATATATATTATTTTATGTGTGTGAATTTTATGTTTATCTACATGTAGATTCCCAAAAAGATGGGAGTTTTGGCGTAAAAAATCTCCTGGATCTGAGGAGGAGGACTTTGCAACCTTTGGCGAAGGCCCGGGCTTTCCATGTCGCCATGGAGGTAGCCCAGCTGGATGGTTTGCAATGGAACATCCTTTGAAAATGGATGGATTTTGAGGTACCAACATTTAGGACACCTTTTTTTTTGGCAGTGAATTTTGAGGTACCAACATCTGGAAGCCAGCCAAACAGCATCCGCGTATCCGCGCAGATGTGCCGGATGAACATCAAGCCGGTGCTGAGACGTCCAGCTTGGAGGGCAGTGGGAGCGATTCCACTGAAGCGGCCCAGACTTCAACTGGTTGGTTGGGGGATCCAGGTCCGGCCAACGCAGCGGAAATCTCCCAGAAATATCCATTAATGTCATCAATGTGACGACGGTTTTCCTATGAAACATATGGACTTTTCAAAATTTTCAATGCCATGTACCACTGACAACGCGCATCTGCAAACCGCAACCGTGTTCATTTGTTGCTCTAAGCTGGTGGTTTGATCCCGAAAACCAACGGAATTCAACGGCCTCCAACTTACCTCCAACATTTACAGAATATTTGCAGATTAGAGACTTTCAATGTCTTTCAATCCCCCAATAGATCATCTCTGCAACGGAAACCTGGGCTGGCACCCTGGAGCACTTCCCTCAGAGATGGTGGAGTGGAGACCCAAATGATTCAAGGAGGCAGCAGTTCTTCGCCAAATCCATGGGTGTCACAGGTGTTTTTCCATGGCTCAGTGCTTCAGTGCCTCAGTGCCTCAGTGCTTCAGGTTATTTGTAGCACTTCAAGAAGGGACTCTCGACGACGCTCAACTCTTCAAACGGTCATGAATGAGGCGCCGGGAGCTGACTGGAGGTTTGAGGTCGACCAAACGGAAACATCGAAGGTGACAAAAACATGACCGTTGAATCAAACCTGGTCGCCCCCTTTCTTTTTGCTCCAGGACACTTTTGGTTCGTGATCTTGCACTGATGTTTTAAACACATCGAAAAACAAGAATCGATGTGCTGATGTGCGAGACTGACCGGGTGCTTCAAAGGAAGAACTGGGACATCCCCTCTTTTCTTATTGTTTCGTAGGGGACGGGGGAATGATCGAATCAACGATTTTGACAGGCGACGCGCACATCGTTCCTACAACACATTCAGGCCTGCATCTCTGTGGTGTTTGGCATCTTGGTAACGGACGCAGTGGGAACACAATGTCAGAACTGATTTAAGCCCCAAACATGGGATGTTATGGGATAATGAGGGTTGGGTTTACCGGGTTTACCACACGGCAATGGTGAGCCAAGGTACTCACGTGGACGTGTTTTGGCTGCGGTTGACCCGGCTGCGGAAATGAGAGGTTTACTCATAACTATGGAAAATAACAAGTTTTAATGGGTAAATCAACTATGTCAACGGCCATTTTCAATAGCTACAGTATGTTAGTTTACCACAGGTTACTCATGACTGAAAAATGAAAATTTAGGAGCTGCCCTGGAAGTTGATGGACACAGGCCCTGGTTCTATGTGAAATCCCGTGGAGTATCATCCCTTAAGGTTGGGGACGATGAGGAAGGAGATAACCTCACCGGCGCAGCCAAGAAATTGCTTGGACCACTGGGTCGTGTGCCACTGGGCGATTCGCAGTGGGAACATGGTTGAAGATGTTGGTAAAACAATGGTGCTCCATCAATTATTATGAGCTAAACGGCTAAAGTCATTATTATAGTATGCAATTATGATGAACTAGGTATCATAGCATCGGTTCCCATTAATTACTATCATTATGATTTCCGTAGCAATTATTATGATGTGCTATTGGGGCTATACCTCTCCAAGCCATCCTTTAGACCTCAGGAAATTCGTGGGACAGGCGCAGGAGGAAATCCAACGGATTACCAAGAAAGGCGTCAAGAGCCTCGGCCCGTTGGTGACCGTTGGTGACCATTGATGTTACATTGGTAATTTGCCATGGGAATTTGAGAAAAACTGGTGGTTTACTAAAATCCTGGAACACAAACAGCACAACTCTAGTTGTTGACCGTTGAATCCTTGGGATTTTGGAGGATTTTGGTGCTTCAAAATGGGCATTTTGATGGTTTCCGAGGTATCGCACGATGCATCACACCTTTTGGTCCAACTTTGCAGCCCGGCGGAAAATGTGGGAAATCTTTGGAGTTGACCAATCTTTGGAGACCGGTTTATCTAAAAACCACTCAAAAAATATGAGGATAGAGTGAACAAATATGAAGATAGAAAACCTTGTGAATCCGAGTTGGATCTGGATGAATCTGGCTAAATACTGGTTAAATACTGGTTAAAGGGCCTTAACATTGCCTCAACGATGGAAGGTGCTCTCAACGGGATGATCGTGACATTCTGAAGCCACGACATTCACATGGAGTCCTTGTGTGCACTGCTCGCCGGGTCCAAAATATTGCGAGTTTCCCAGCTTTCTGAAGCTTGCTGTACCCGCTATGCCAGATAAAATGCCAGAAAAACGCCAGATAAAACATCGGATAGAATGCCAGAATACATATGTATATACATATGTATATATATATATATATTATTATATATATATTATTATATATATATATTATTATATATATATATTATTATATATATATACACATATAATTATACATACATCAGATAGAAGACAGCTAAACTGTCAGATAAAGTCTTAGATCATTTGTGGTGGATGCGTGTCAGATGAGATGCCATGTCAAAACCGTCAATTTTGGCGAGGAAAGTTATGCCAATGAGCCCAAGATTTGGCACATTCACCCAGTAGGAAAAATGCTTAATCAGTCCAACATTTGGCGTTTTCCGAAGGCGCACTTAAAACAAGAAACTTTTCTGGAGCCTTTGTGTAGGTCAGAGATGGTAAAACAACAATGAAAATTCCTCCAAAGGGCATGTTTTTTTTACTATTCTGGAACCTTGTGTGGTTCTGGCGCAAACTTATTTCGATTAACCAGCGGAAGCTGGTTTTGCTACATGTTTCCGCCGAGCGCCTATGAACTGGGATTGACGCTGGGAAGGGAATGCATCACCCAGCCGCTGTTTTCCGGTTGGTGTTCACCTGGGTTGGCAGAAATGGAGGTATAATTGGTATAGTTGGTGTAACCCTAAAATTGTGAGTTGATAATCGTTTCAATGGGCAATTTTTTGGGGTTTTATTGGATCAACGGATCCCCATTGGAGAATGAACTGGCATCCGAGGCCTTGTCTTTTTGGTTGGGCTTCTGGATTGCCCTGATTGGGATGCCCAACTATGCTTTGACCGCACGGAAATTCATCTATGGCCCCTTGGTGAACTGAACGGAGGGATGCCCTTTTGGGCAGCAAGTGTTGGGTCCAACATTAAAGGATCAACATGATCAACAAAGCGTTTTCTGAAAAGTGTGCCTTTGAAAATCCACACCCATAAATTTCTGCAGTTTGGGGGGTGACAATCCTCCAAGGTTGTGGCCGTAAAAACCGTTTTTGGAATCACACACTTGGATCGTTCACGTTCCTAAAGTTGTCTGAAAATAGGCGACATCAAAATAACATGGTGGATTCAACGGTTGATCATCGATTTCCTGATTTTTTCAAACGACTTATCCATTTTTATCCCCTACCTTGGAAGAAAACCCAATGACCTGGTGACCAGCCTGTTGTTGTAGGTTACAATTTTGCAGGAAGCAGACTCCTCCCTAACATCATTGTCGGGCCAACCACGCCATCAATACGGTCTGGTTCTATCATTGTTTTTAGATGTTTTTAGATCAGTTTTATGTTTTTTGCCAGTTTTGGTGGCTAACATCCCCATATTTTCAGAGTTCACCTTGCAATCAGCGAAGAAAATCCAGGCGACACGCGGCAAACTGAGAAACTGTTGACCGCACGATTTGTTCCATGGGAGCCTGGGCAGATTGTGGACGAATTGGTAGGTCCATTGGGCGGAAATAAAACAAGAACACCCTTTATTCAGAAGGTTTTATATATAATGTAGGGGGAAGCTTCGAAATCCAATTTTTGGCAATACTTTAATATATAGTGAATAGCATGAATTCGACTTTGGTTCCCTAATAATAAATAACCCCCTAATACTAAAAACTACCTGAGGTGTTTATTAATAGGGGGAGGGGGGACGTTTAGTATTAGGGAGAAGGGATTAGTTCTATCATGTTCTATCGGTAGAAGCCGAAATAAATAATCTTTCTCTGCAAACAATTGCCTCAGAGGAATCCAATGGGTCGAGACGTTGGACATTTGGTTTGATCAAATTCGCCACAAGGTTGGCAGGTGACCAGAACGAATGATGCAAGAACCGAACCCCAATGCATTGTGGGGTTTTCGATTTTCCCACGCAGAGTTGAAATTTGTGGTTTGAGATTCGAGACTGCCCAAAACACGTCCAAAAAAGGATCCCAAAATCAGATTATGTTGATGCCATCGCGTAGAGCACGCGACTGTGCTGCTCAATCGTTCCTTCTTCCAAGCGCCAAACGCAAGGTTGATGACTGTAAGGGTTTTTTTGGTTCCGATCGTGGGGATGATGATTTTTCTCCATGAACTGGGAATCCCAGCCGCCAACGAAGCTGATGACTTTCCGACTCCGCGCTCAGCACCACTACTGGTGTGATCTGTCGGACAGCGGTCTTTCGGAAGCTGACTTGCTGAATGTCACTGATTGCAGCACATCGAGCCTTGGCGGTGCCACAGTGGTTCGGATGTCCCAAAGTAGGGCATACTGGGCATACTGCAGAATCTCATGTTGGGTCATCATTTTGCCTTTTAAATGGCTATTCACAATTGTTGGACAAATCCACATTGGGACTGGGTTCTGATCAAGCCGCCCCAAGCGCCAAGCACAGCAGCAACGGCGCCAAGGAACGAGCTGGAAAAGGAAGACTTTTCCACCCAAGGTTTTTTGGATGGCATGAATGGTACCAGGCACGCAGCTGTGGTCCAATACGGTATGTCAATGTTGATGACAATGATAGCCACTGATGATGACGAAGAAGAACAAAAAGAAGAGGGTGATGGCATGGTGATGACGATGATTTTGATGCTGCTGCTGCTGCTGATGATGATGATGATGATGGTGATGATGATGATGATGACGACGATGACGACGATGACGATGACAGTGACGGTGACGGTGATGTTGACGGTGACGGTGACGGTGACGGTGATGATGATGGTGATGCTGATGGTGATGCTGATGGTGATGGTGATGGTGATGATGGTGGTGATGATGGTGGTGATGGTGACGGTGACGGTGATGGTGATGGTGATGATGATGATGATGATGATGAAGACTGATGACTGATGACTGATGACTGATGGTTCATGGTTCATGGTTCATGGTTCATGGTTCATGGTTCATGGTTGATGATTCCTGGTTCATGATTGATGATTTATGATTGATGATTGGCCACCCATGATGCTGAATTAGAAGAACTATGAAACAGTTCAAACATTTTTCGGGGACTTGTCATATCTTTGTTGAATTGGCGAGGTGGAAGTTTGGGTCTTTGAATGCAGAGCATGCCCATCCCCCAGTATGTGTTAATTTGTTCCACCAGACCATGATGAGGACTCATCGCCCCAGAATTTGATTTTGCCCCGCCTTTTGCTGTATTTGGCCAAATTTCCAGGAAAAATCACCCATTTTTTGAGACCTCTTGGGGCCAGACCTTGGGGCAGAAATTCGAAAAAAACAGCGCCAGCATCGGCATCGACGACCCTCCGCCCAGTGCCAACTTGGATGGGAAAGTCTGTGGCTATCGACCTGGGCGCCGATACTTCGGTTACTTCAAACGCTTTTGGCGCCTTGACGGCTGGGGACACAGGGGCTGGGGTCAATGTCAATGGCCTGACGGGTGCCGATGTCTGCCCAAGGGGCCCTGATTCGGGTTCGAATGAATGGATCCTTAGTGTGTTCCAGGGTTACAGCACATGATAATTTGATATAATTTGTGCAAAACATGATTGAACACAGTCACTGTACAGTATATGGAAATGATGTACTTTTGCATGAACATGTCTCCCATAGTATCATGATTTTGATTGGATGTAACTGCATATGATATGAGCATCTTGCAGGATTTTTCCCCACCGAGGATCGGAAGTGCTTCAGGCAACTACTTTCCGACAATCGATCACAACAAACCAGTGTACATTGAGGAATCCAATGCCTCTCGGCGACATGCAGTTGTTAGTTGTTTCTGGAGTCAACATGTGCTGTTTTCCAATCTCGTCAATCTCAAGGTCATGTACATGGTCAACTATGTTCTTGAAAATATTTGGTCGGACTGCAGCCTTTGAACCTTTGAATTCCATTTTTGGGAGCTGCACAAAATCAGACTAACAAAATGGAAGGACCGACATTTTTTCGGGCCGACTTTCAGACCTACCCCACGTCCGAAATCTGAATTGAGCAGACGTCAGAAATCTAACTTATGTGCGAGAACCAAACAAGCAACACTGAAAAAAGATGTTCCAGTAGTATAATTGTGAAGGTGCATATATTTGTTGAGGTGCTGATTTAGGCTCAGTAGTTTTCAAAGAACCGTTTGCTGTCGCTATGGGTGGTTTGAGAGCTGTTTGTTTTCCATCCCTGGATAAATTCGATAATTTCAATTCACAGGATGGCAAAAGCCAGCAAGATTACAATCGATTGTGGTAATCCATTGGTAATCCATGATGATGTATCTCTTCACCATGTGGCTTACAGCAACCATCAGATCATCGTAGCCCGCCCGCCTTCAGGTGACCAATTATTCTCAACAAGTCTTAGATGCTTGGCGTGGGAGGGAAAACTGGAGCTCCCACTGCTGAATTTTGAGCCATTTGAACATTGGAGAAGGGACCATGACAACTATGAGAATCTCATAGCAACATATGAACAAAACATAGCAAAACTATTCTCACAGCAAATCATATTCACCATATCAACAAAACATAACAACACTGAACAAAACGAGCTAAATTATCTAAATTCAGACCTATCATGACCTATCAGCTGATGCGTTGCGTTGTTGATGTTGTTGCCTCCGCACTGAGGAAGATGGAGGCCAAACGTGTCTACGGATGTGCGAAAGAAATTTGAACTGCAGTATTTGGTCCTGGCACAGCTACACCACTAGTAGGGAGCTGAGAAAGTTCTGATATTTGATGATATTTGATTCTGATATGAAAATATCTAAAATATCCATGGATGCCATCAGATTGCTGATGATGATTTCTGTCAACCCGGCTTCACAGATTGATTGGTCACAACCTCATAAATGGCTGAGCAGGGCATCGATCCAAATTGACAGAAATCTGGGAAAGTGCTTTGCATCGATGAACATCCACATCATCTCTCCATTTTTGAACGAAAAACGACATGCCAGTGCTGTCCAGTAGCTGTCCAGTAGTCCAGCAGTAGCTGCTGATGCTGATCGCCTTGCCGGCTAAGATACCATCTATGGGGGCATTTGCCACTTCTTTGAAAGCACTGTGACTTGGTGCCTTTCAGCAGAGTGGTTTTTTCAGATGCTGATAGCCTCTGACTGGGCGGCGATGGTACTGGTCACGGTGATGGCAACGACTGGGATCCAATTATTTGAGAAGAGAAGAATCATCTAAAATTTAAAATCAGGGATTTCGGATTGGCAATGACTGGTAATCATTGGTAATCCGCATTTGTCAAGCATGGTTCCGCGACTAGAGACAGGGTCTCCCATCAAGGGAAATGGACAGAAACCGTGCAACATGCCCCCAAGTCTTCAGGGAAACTACCTCGCAAAGACCAGTCGCGAGCGGTTCGATGGAACTGCTCTCCTTCAGGTTTAAAGTGGTGATATTGGCGGTTGTACACTTTGCCCAATCATGATATTGAATCTGGATAAGCTCCAAAAAGATAGCACGCCATATGATAATTTCCTAATCTTTTCGATTATCGTGACTTGGATTTTACATGATTTTACCATATTCTACCGTATTGTACCATATTCTACCATATTCTACCATATTTTACCATATTTTACCATGTTTTACCATATGTTACTATATTTTACCATATGTTACCATGTTTTACCATATTTTACCATATTTAACCCACATCTCAGTCCCTTTTAGCCTGTTACAACACTGTTCTTTATGTGGCTAGCGAGCTAACGAGGCCGTCATCGACACACGCCTCACCTATGATTGGCAGAAATGGATCGGTGGCACCTGCAGGTGCGGAGCAGGATGAAGCAGACCTGGTGTATCATGGGATATCAATGGTTCATGGTTCATGATACATCTTAATGGAATATCAATGGTTCATGGTTCATGATACATCTTAATGGGATATCAATGGTTCATGGTTCATGATACATCTTCATGGGATATCAATGGTTCATGGTTCATGATACGTCTTAGTGGGATATCAATGGTTCATGGTTCATGATACGTCTTAATGGGATATCAATGGTTCATGGTTGATGATACATCTTAATGGAATATCAATGGTTCATGGTTCATGATACATCTTAATGGGATATCAATGGTTCATGGTTCATGATAGATCTTCATGGGATATCAATGGTTCATGGTTCATGATACAAAATGATTATGAACATCTTAATGGGATATCAATGGTTCATGGTTCATGATAGATCTTCATGGGATATCAATGGTTCATGGTTCATGATACAAAATGATTATGAACATCTTAATGGGATATCAATGGTTCATGGTTCATGATACGTCTTAGTGGGATATCAATGGTTCATGGTTCATGATACATCTTAATGGGATATCAATGGTTCATGGTTGATGATACATCTTAATGGAATATCAATGGTTCATGGTTCATGATACAAAATGATTATGAACATCTTAATGGGATATCAATGGTTCATGGTTCATGATACATCTTCATGGGATATCAATGGTTCATGGTTCATGATACAAAATGATTATGAACATCTTAATGGGATATAAATGGTTCATTGTTCATGATACGTCTTAGTGGGATATCAATGGTTGATGGTTCATGATACAAAATGATTATTAACATCTTAATGGGATATCAATGGTTCATGGTTCATGATACATCTTAGTGAGATATCAATGGTTCATGGTTCATGATACAAAATGATTATTAACATCTTGATGGGATATCAATGGTTCATGGTTCATGATACATCTTAGTGGGATATCAATGGTTCATGGTTCATGATACGAAATGATTATTAACATCTTAATGGGATATCAATGGTTCATGGTTCATGATACAAAATGATTATTAACATCTTAATGGGATATGAATGGTTCATGGTTGATGATACATCGTAACGGGATATCGGAGGCTCATGGTTCATGATACAAAATGATTATTAACATCTTAATGGGATATTAGTGGTTCATGGTTCATGGTACATCTTAATGGGATATCAATGGTTCATGGTTCATGATACAAAATGATTATTAACATCTTAATGGGATATTAGTGGTTCATGGTTCATGGTACATCTTAATGGGATATCAATGGTTCATGGTTCATGATACAACATTATTATTAACATCTTAATGGGATATTAATGGTTCATGGTTCGTGATACATCTTAATGGGATATCAATGGTTCATGGTTCATGATACAACATTATTATTAACATCTTAATGGGATATCAATGGTTCATGGTTCATGGTACAAAATGATTATTAACATTCTAATGGGATATATTTCGATATCCATGGGATGTTGATGGATATTAATTAATGGTTTCGATATCAATGGGATGTTAACGAATAGTAATGGTTCATGAGTGATCATCAATGGTTAATAAGAATCCATGAGTGGTGTATAATTAATGATGAATGGTGTAGTATCCAATGAGGTTAATGATGTTAATGGTATATTCATGGTTAGTAACTATTAGGGATTTGATGTGTATAGTAGCTATAATAATGTGGGATTCACCCAATGCCATAAACAACTACCATTTGGGGATGGTTTATGAATTTCTGATGATATTTCTTGGATGGTTTATGGCATTGGCTTTACCAGATTGCTGCCATTTGCTGCCAATACCAGAAATTATGGTCATGTTTACTGCTATGGAAGCCAAAGCAGGTGAAAGTAGATGATTTCCCTATTAAAAATTGGTAGTTTTCCATGGCAAACTTTCAACTTGCTAGATGGAAAAAAAGTGATGAAAAACCGCAGATTCACCAGGGGATTTGGATGGGAATGTCGACGACAGAAGTGACCGCATGGTGCAGGTCACAGGCCAAGACCTTGTACTATTGTCCGGACAACGTCTATGGCAGGTGGGTTTCTGATGGTTTGTTCTTCACATTTCATTCACATTTCAGGTCACTGATGTTTGGTCACTGATGCACCTGATGTCTGAGTCTGGTGAGTTTTTAGTGACCTACTGGTGTGTAATCAGCAGTGATCAGCAGGTGATGGGTAGGTCACAGTGACGCAACTGCAGGTTGCACAATTACGCGCCAATTACACAACCGCCAGTCTTAAGGCCCGGTTTTTTCCAACCATGTCAGCACTTCCTCCAGATGTGACACTGTCAAAAAGGCTGAACAAATAGATAAATCATGATGAATCATGATAAATAGATATATAAATAGACAAACATCGGAGATTTTGACCATCCGATCCATCCCTTTTTTTGAGTTCATTTCGTTGCGGCACGGCTTGTAGGCGACCGGTCGGCATCAGTTCGAAGGATGTGTTCACCGACCTTTGGTGTGGCATTCTGTTGGGACACTCAGGTGACAGGTGACCCAGGTGTCGGTGTTGAAGTTGGGACTTGGATCGTGTTTGTTGGGGATTTCAACTGAAAAAAGTTTATTTTGATACCATGAAATCCCGTGAAAATGTCTATTGATGGTCAATCCCTATTTGTGTTGGGGATTAGCTAACATCGTGTCATACTGGGATTTAAACCATGGCTCTATGGCATCATGGCAAAGGCACAACCTTCCTGGAAGCATCCTCACTTGTGAGTGATTATAGGAACAATCCACGAGTGCTACTCAACATGGACAGATAACAGTTGATTTCATTGTTTCAATCCTCTACATATATATATATATGCACACATAGTAGCACATATACAGATACATTACATCACATCGCATTGCGTTGCATTACACCACATGACATGCATTGCATGCGCACACACACACACATTTTTGTATTTAATTATATATATATATTCTATGTATGTATCATGATATGTGCAATATATATATATGTAGATATAGATAGATAAGTATGCATGTTATCTATGCATGTTTATTGATTGTACAGAATCCCATCACCAATTCACGGTGCCGAAAAACTCGCCGTGGCGAAAAACTGTTTGTTTTGAGGCCCGAGAAATGGTCCCAGACCTGGCCCAATGTGGTGCAGAGACTTGGTGGCGCACGGGCAGATGGAAAAAAAGGATTTCCTCTGGTGAAAAACCATAGATATCAATGGTTAATGATGGTTAATGGGGATATCGGGATATCAATGGTTTTCATGGTTTCCCTCTGGTAAACTTTCACAGTTTGCTATTGGAAATTGCCCAGTCGAAATAGTTGATTTGCCCATAAATAGCATGGTGGTTTTCCACAGTTATGTTTGTTTACCAGAGGGTATGGGAATAGTTTGTTGATATGTTTATCAATGCATATGATTTATTGTTTATGATACCATTGGTGGTACCATATGGTCATAGTATGGGAATAGTTTGGTTTGATTTATGATACTAGCAAATTGGGAATAGTATGGGAAGCTTATGGGAATAGCGGCACCATCATTCGGGAGTCTGAAATAGATTCCATGGAAGAGATGATGAAATAAGATAACATCTGATGACGATGACAATGATGACAAAGACAACGACCTTGAATAACTGCTTTTTGCAAGAGTGCTGCAAGGATTCTGAGATGGCTTTAAAACAGAGAGTCATCACCCTGATCTTCGCAGTGAGATAGTCTTCCAATAATCGCAATTCAGGCATTTCGAATCATGTCTTTTGTTCCACTGGCATCACATCTACATGACCACACTTGAGACATGTCCATGATATTTGAATTTCCAGCATATTTCTGGGACTTTTAAAAGTTGTGACATTATATACATGTGACATCCAACGACAGAAATGTGATCACCTTATGGTGACATCCGGCGGCATCCGGCGCCCCGGCGGCTCAGGATGATCGTCTTTTCGGTCTTTGGAGGAACTGGGACCACGATCCAACTCTGTTGGCAGGGCTTCATTGGAACCTCTGCCGCATGCCGCCTGGCGATGGTGGCGATGGGATCATGGTTGGAACGGATGGAACGGATGGAACGGATGGAACGGATGGAAGCATGTAGAACTGGCCTAGTGGCTGATTCTCGTCTAATCTCGTTCAGGTTACAAAAGGACTCACTATCTTTTTGGATTTCAGGGTTGGAAAAAGGATTGTTGGAGTCACCTTTTTGTGTTCTTTGGATCTAGTGCTGTGCAGTTTGTTTTTCAGACGCAGACTGCCTCTGAAATTTGGGATCTAAGCCATCTAAGCCAATCTAAGCAGCCAAGGCCTGAATTGCTTCATCATGTCGCTCCTCTTTCCCAAGGGTGGGAAGGCCTTGGTGCCTTGGTGGGTCCCAGTTTGCCAGCTGGAAATCTCACCCCTCAGACCCTCAGATCCGCATCGAGATCAGCCGCCAGGGCCACAAATGCACCGCGGAAGAGATCGCTCAAGCGTTGTGTAAAGAAGGAGATGACTGGCTGCAGCTGAAAAAAATGAAAGGATCTGATGGGGATAGTGGATGATACTGGGGATACCAGGAATGACGGGGCTTTTTATGTGGATAGAGTCAGAGGAATTTGGGAGGCAGATCAAATCAGTGATTTTGGTATATTTCGGCACGATAAACAGTGCATCATGTAGCATCCATTCTTGCATTGTTCACCATGGTTCACCATGGCAGGAGATTGGAGCTACGAGTCACCAGGATATCGCAGTTGGATCGGTTGGCTGGACACCCTGGGCGTTCTCTTCTTGCAGCCTGGCAGATCTGTTGGATCTGTGGCCGAGCCAGGATGGAATCCATGCTATTTGTTGATTGACAAAGGAAGATGATTGATACCCAGGTTATCCCAGGTTCTTGGAGACTACCCATAAGGATAACATAGGATAACTATTTCTACATCTATGAACCATAACCAACCAGTACTAGTTGGATTAGTTGGAGCCTCAGTTTCGCCACCAGGTTTATGCTGTCGAACTCGCAGATCAACACGATCAAATTCGGTCCCTTGGTCAACAACAGATGGAGGATTTCCCGCCAGTTTTTTGGGTCGAAAATTGGGGACCACAATTGGATGGGTACCAAGTGGGGGTAAAATCCGACAGTTTCTGGGTTTCTAATGACCCGTAGCGTCCGGGGGTAACATCAGTAACATCCGAGTGTTTTTGGGCACTTTTTGGGTACTTTTTGGGCACCCAGCAATTGCTGAGGGATGTCGTGGCACTTCTTCTTCATGATGGATTTCATCGACCCAGATACTGGAAGAACTCCCTGCCCGGACTACGACAAGGTCTTCTTTGAACTGATCTGTTTGAGTGAGCCACTTGGTGGATCTTGCTTGACCCACCGGCCTCATGTCAATGAGGTCAATCTCCTGTTTTTCATGGCGTAATCTTGCAACATTGGGTCAATATCAATTAAACCATAACCATCCCGCCAGGGCCACAAATTAGGTTGCCTTGTCTCCCTGTTGTGGGTGCCAAGGTACTGGTTTGTTGCTGCTTGGCTGCAGCACATGGTATTGCTGGTAGAAAAAACACCGAGTATGACTTGGTACACATCTATAGAATCTATATGAATCTATACATGATTTACCAATTTACCACGACAGTTGGTGCTTTAAGGAACTTTGTGTGTGGATCGCTTCGCGCACCTTGCCGATCACATCCGATCACCATATCAGGTTTTCGTCACCACCATCCTGGGCTGCATCTTCGCGGTGATTGTGACCTTTGTCCCGTGCCCACTGTTGAATGAGAGGCGTGGCCTGTGGCTGTGGCAATCGTGGTGGCCTGTGGTACATTTCAGACTGTGCATTGCTGATTTCAGCTGATTTCAGCGATTTTCCAATGGATTTTCCAATGGATTTTCCAATGGACTTTCCAATGGATTTTCCATGATGTTCAGCTATGCCATGCCATTAGGAACCACGGGCATCGGCAGGAAAGCCTATCGCGAGATGGCCACGATGGCCAAGACTTTGAGTGCCATCTGGTGCCACTGGCCATGGGGTGGTTGAACTAAGAAAAATGGAGATATCACAAGGATACTTTCATAATGTTTCATATAGTTTCAATGTTTCATCATTTTTTGGCATTTTGATGGCTCTAGATTTGCGGTTCGTTTTGTCATACTTGATCAGTCGCACAATATGATATCATCGTCGTCGTCGTCGTCATCCTCCTCCTCCTCCTCATCATCATCATCATCAGCAGCAGCATCATCATCATCAACATCAACATCATCATCAACATCATCATCATCAACTCTATCATGTTCATGATCATGCTCATCCTCATCCTCGTCGTCGGATCGACAAGGATGGAGTTCAGCGAAGATTCTCTTTTCATTCCGAAACTGGATGGATTTTGAGGTCCCCCAAACCTGACAAACCAATCTTTGGCAAGTCATTCAGATAACTGCGCCCTTGCCCCCAAGTGGCAAAATTTAGCTTCGACTTGAAAAACCGATCCCAAACCAAAATAGTTATATATATATATACCCCAAACTAACATCATCTACTGTAGCCATTTGGGACAATGTCGTCGTAAACTACAGAACTTGGGATTTTCTTACAGTTTTCAAACCCAAATAGACTTCTCAGCTTTGACATGACTTATGGTGTACACAAAGCCTTTTCGAAATCCGCGAAAATTGAGGGGAAGTAGGTTTGTCCAAAGACGGGGTATCCCGAAAATACAACGGCTTTATCAGCATTGTCATCATATTCCAGAGTTTTTGATGGTTGGCACATAGCATTTCACCGATTTTTCTCTAGAAATGGTGGTATACTGAGTATACTGCCCTGAATCCAGTGGTTCAGTTATATAGTTTAGAACATTCTACCTTTTTTTTAATGCTTTTAATGATCTAAAATGGCCAGTGTTGGTCAAAAAGAAACCCTTCGAGCCAGGTGTGAGTCCGTGGATTACATTTGTGGCTCGGAGCCGAGTGTGCAACGTGGGGAACTCAGGGGGTGCCCCTTCGATGGTTGGAAAAAAAGGGGCCATGGGAAAACATGGGAAAACCTGGGACAAAAAAAGGGGAAAAACCATGAAAAACCAACAGAACTCAACAAAAAACCACTGTTTTCGCAATTAGGTGAAAACGCGAGAACATGATGAATTTTGGTGGTTGCATCTTTGCTTCACTCTGTTTTTAAATACCCAATGAAAATCACATGTTTTGGCATATTCCACCGTCGAACTCAAGGACTGAGACAGGATCTGGGATCTGTGTGGGCAGTTTTGCCAGGCACTCTTTTTTTCCTTTTGCGACAGTTCAAGTCAAGGGTAATTTCATATCAATTCCAAGTATTCCAACTCTTTGGAACTAATCTGTGTTTTTTGTTGGGCACTCCATATTTTTCCAAGGCTTTTTTGAGTTGATTTTCTGGGATGTTTGACATCTCGATTCTGAGGTTATCGAATCGAGGCCAAGATTGAAGCGCTTCAGGAGTTGGAAATGAACATCAATTCCAATCTGCAGGTGATGGATCCAGGAAGCTGACTGCTGTATTGTACAGGGTTGTTAATATAGATACATCATAAATATCATCATAAATTTCATCTACCTACATAAATAGGTGTTTTCCCCAACAGCGTAAGCCAATGGGATCTTTAGCCCAGAATAGCTTCGGTGTGCACTGGTGCAGGCGCCGGGTCAGGTCCAACGGGGTTACAGAGAAGGTTCTGGAGAAAGTCTGGGAGGCTTTGGTGCAGAGCCAGGTCAGGTTCAACAGGGTTGCAGAGAAGGTTCCGGAGAAGGTTCCGGAGAAGGTTCCGGAAGGCTTTGGTGCAGAGCCGGGCTAGGTTCAACGAGTTTCTGGAGAAGGTTCCGGAAGGCTTGGTGCAGAGCCGGGCTAGGTTCAACGAGGTTCCGGAGGTTCCGGAAGGCTGTGGTGGAGAGCCGGGCCAGGTTCAACGAGGTTCCGGAGAAGGTTCTGGAGAAGGTTCGGGAAGGGTTTTGGTGCGGCCAGGTTCAACGAGGCTTCTAGTAGGTTCCGGTGCGCTTCCGGGAGTGTGTCGGCGCAGCTTTTAAGTCAAGTTCCAGCAAATATCGGACGAAAATAAATTACTGCTGCTTGGGGATACCACCGAAGTTTTTTTTCCCTCCCAAACGCCCGATTTTCTTCTGTTTGCAGAGGCCGCCTGGTGGGAATCCGCTTTACTGGGCCGTCATGATCCAACGAGACAAGAATTGCTGGTGATCCAACAGAATATGCAGGAGCTGATTGGAAGGTGTTGTTGATGTAAATATCCTTGTTGAATGTTGTGTCGTGTTTGTAAAGTCCCCGTCTAGCAGTGGTCTAATGACTTTTTGGACGGCGTTTTTTCTTGTCAAATAGTTTGTTTTGGTAAGATGTGTGCATGTTTTGTAGTGGGCATGGTGACAGAATTGGAGACCCTGTGGAATTTTCGACCCAGTAGATTGTTTTTTAGTATATAGTGCTCCCATTGGTCTCGTATTTCCTCAATGTACTGCATGTTTTCTCGATTGCTGAATGATCCTGGGCGAATGAATGATGGGATGTGCTTTGGTCATGTACCCATGCCACCTTCTCCCAATTATGCTTGACCCACCGTGTTTGTTGTGAACGGATGTCCCAAACATGGTCAATCAGAGGGCTGATGATATCAACTCTGAGACAAACACTCATCATGATTATACACCCACTACAATATGTGTACAGATATATATATATATAACATATATATATATATAGATAGATATAGAAACATGCAGAGCATGGCCATGACAGCATTTCACAGCCGTCGGCCCGCAGTGTTGCGCCGTTAGGACATGTTTGATGTGCTCCCGGCGGTGAAGTGGTGTGTCCTCAATGAAGATTTCCAAGGGCAGCACCAGGACGGAGATGGAATTTTGGGATTCCAAGCACATGGCTGACATGGCTTTCACAAGATGAAAGTTATTTATAACCTATATATATATACATATATTATTATACATACATACCAAAACCATGGTTTATGGGAGGTGATTTGGTTGGAATTTTGGTCGACATGTGTTGAACATTGTTGAACTGGCTGGCTTCGAGTTGAGGACTTCATCCTTGATTTGCAGCCGCATTTGCAGGCGCTGAGCAAAGGAATTCTCCAAGAATCTTGGGACAAAAAAACTGCATCCAGAGATATCTCCAGAGAATCACATAGAATTCCTAGAGGTATGTTTACTTTTTATATACTGTATATATAATCATTGAGTAATCTAAAGGATGTCCAACTTTTCAGGAATTGTCTGTGGAGGCGCTGGTTAGAGAAGCCACGCAATTGCTGGAGATGTGCATCCGCCACCGACCCAGCCAGCCGTTGGTGGCCGTTGCGGCACACGTTTTGACCGACCCATGGCGGGTCCCAAGGTGCGCCCTATGCAGGGAGAAAGGATCGGAAGAGCATGACTCTTGGACATTCTTGTGGCTGATGAGTGTGCCACATACGTGTTGTCACGTCAGCTACCGACCTCTTGTGCTTGATCTTACCACGTGCATTTGGGCCATGATCGGGTGCCGGCTTTGCCGGCATTCGAAAAAACGTGGGTCGCCCCAGGAACAAATTTATCCATGAGTCAGCCATTCACGTGCACAAACTCCAAAAATTTCTGGTGTTGACCTCAGGGGTGCCCAGCCGTTGCCAGCTCCAAGCCGTGCGAATTGGTGAATCTTTGGGGGTCAGGAGATTCTGCCCATAGAAGTGGTTGTGAAATTCCGACAGCTGTGTTACTCTCAGGTGCAGCAGTATCGGAAGAAGAGTCTGCGCCCGAATCAGGACTTGGCAGATGAGCCTTGACCAAAACCACCAAAACATGGTCTGACGAGTCTGACGACTTGAGGGTTTTGGATTTTTTCTCTGGGATATTTGCGGATTTTTTGTTGTGTAAAATCCATGTTGTTCTTTTCAAAAGAATATGTGCTTCTAATCGCTGCTTCCGACCTCATTTGTTTTTTGGAGGAATAGTTCCACGTTGGTTCCCATGGCATTTTTCGTAGAAATACTTCCATGTATTCATATGATCAGATACACAGTCACCTCAAAAAAAATAGAAATGTGATATCCTACTAAAATAGATTCAACTCGTGATGGACTTTTCTATGTTGGAGATTCAACGCCACCTTTCTCTGGTGTCAGACTCAGCGCCAAGGAAACTACCTTGGTTTTCAGCCTATCCTTCACTGCGCGAAAGGCAGCAGACTTGAGCCAACTCATCTGCAACAAGAAGGTGGCGCTGGCTGGCTCGGCTGCATGGGGACAATTTGAGAGCGACACTTTCCATACTTTCCGATGATTCGATGGCCATAATTTTTCAGTGGTGGCCTTACTCGAAACATCTCGAAACACTTGAGAAACCCAAGCGGATTTCCGATGCACCGATGTCGAAGCTGAAAAACAAAAAAATCAGCTACCCAACAGCACTGATATCGGCGCCGCATTCCACGCCACTAGGGACGTGTTTGCATCTACACACACACACTTTCTCAGAACAGCTTATCGATTTGTGAAGGTGGAATGCATTGGACGTGCAACAGACACCAACAAACAAAAACAAATTGACACGGTAAATACATATATATAATTATATATATATATATACACAGATATTTTCGCAGGGGTCGTTGACAGTAAAAACCAACAGCGATAAACTATAGGTCCCCCCCAGCTGCGATTTATATGCGCCCAGGGGCGGGACTATATAATATAGAAACAGGCATGTTTACACAGGAACATTGCAGCGTCTTCATTGGCCGCTGCAATGTTCCCCAGCGGACACGCACCCGCACCCGCACAGGCGCACGCGCTTTTTTGTGGCACACACACACTCTGGCATGTAGACACATAGACATAGTCAGGTACGGATACACATGTCTGTATGCATCATTTTTACATATACAATGTGCACGCAGAGGTGAGAGACCCATGACGAGCCAGGAACAGTGGGCTTGTTGGAGAGGCGACAACTTCATCTTGCTGATGAAGGGTTGTTGGGAAGGGCTGCCACCTCAGTAGATTCGCAATAGGAAGAGACAGCAAGTGCCAAGCCATGCTCGGTGATGCTTGTTGATTACATTTCCTTTTTGGGTCAAGTTATGTAACTTTCTTTGCCTTTCTTGTGAGTCGCCGTTTTTCTTGGTTAAAAAAGGATCTCCTATGCCTCTCCCGTGAGGTTCAAAAACACTTGGAGCCCGAGCAAAATGTTCAGACGCTTGGTGGCGACCATACTCTCACAGATGTTCACAGGGTCGTGTTGTGCCGATGGGAAAGGCATCAATGCACAATCATGATCAATAATGCACATTATATACCCTCTGGTAATTTAACATAGCTATTGAAAATCACCATTTTTAATGGGAAAATCCACTATTAATGGTCATTATCACAGACAAATCATGGATCCCTCGATCACTCAAAAAAACTAAAACATCTCATCCGTTTCATCCGTTTCTGAAAGGTCGCGAACACTTGGAGTTTGCGGTACGGAACTTCATTGGAATCTCCGCGGTCTTCTTTTTAGCCATTATGCATCTTGGCCCTGGATGGATGTCTCATGGGGCTCAGTGGTCTCAGGTGCCACTTTGGTGCCATGACAGAATGCCAATCAAGCTCATCAATCATCAGAAAATGAAAAAATAGGAAAACATACATTTAAAAAAAAAACTCAAGAGAAAACACAACAGAAAATACAAAGAGATACAAAGATTGCTTGTTTTTTTCCAGTTGGAAGCAGGCTTTAGAGTTTGAAGTGATTTGCCGGATTCCTTCGGCCCTCAGAGTGAATTCTGCATCATCATCATCATCATCATCATCATCATCATCATCATCCTCGATTCGTTTAAGAGTTTCACATAGTTTGGCATGATCTTCCCAATCCACGTGTAATTTTTTTGAAGTTTGATGCGAAGAAAACCATAGCATAAGAATGCATAAGCAGAGACCATAAGAACACAGTGCACGATCCCTGAAAGGATCATTTAGATCAGGCTTGAAGAGATCCGCGCAAGGACATGTGTTTAACCGATGTGCAGTGATCTGTTGGACGCCTTCCAATCAGACTAACATGTCGGTTTTGGTATTTTGTTGTGAATACTTCGTTTACTTGCTTGCCTTCCTCCTTATTGCCTCTCTTCATCTCTGCACTTGTCTCCTTTGGATCGTCGTCCGCTGCTGCACCTCCCGGTCTTCCTCGTCTCGTTTCATCTTGGCGCCTGGATAAAATTGATGCCTTCAAAATTTGTAGTGATGCCCTGTATTGTGAAGTGACAAGCAACATAGAACGAACCCAACACTAGGGAATGTAGCTCACAAAAATCTGGGGATGTTCGCCAAAATACCATCGGATTGTCTTTAATTTTCCCGTGGTGAAGCAGTGGCTCAGGCTCGAAAACTACATCTTCAAGAGGTATAGTGCTGTGATGCTACTTGGCGAATTGCGATCTTCGCCTATCTTTGGACCAGATGGGGCATTTTCATGCATTTTCTCTGACGCTGGACATTGCTCTGAATTGGAGACCAGATGGCGAATTGATCATTGGAGAACATTGAAAAATATTCACTGACTTTGCTCTTCTCTGCACATTCTCCCAGATGGGCCATTGATCCAAGGCCTGCGACATTGGCTTTGTTGATCTCCAAGTATCAAAGCACGGCATTTACCAACAACCTCCACCGACTCTTAGGAGTTCTCCTGGGGAAGGCCTGGGGATTTTTGACTTTTGGAGGTTCAGTGGGTCCTACTTAATTTCATTACACAGTTATATTTATTTTTGAGCTGACGCTCATCGTCGGCTCCGCCGGATTACTTGACCCGATGTCATCGCAGGGTGGGCTTGAAAACTATTGAATGAGGACCTGCTGCTTCAGAAATATATTCCTTATGTTTTTTTGAACATATTCATGGATGTGTAAAAACTTCTCTGTGAAAAAGTTTCTGCGTGTAAAAGCTTCTCTGTGAAAGACTTCTCTGTGTAAAAACTTCTGTGTGTGTGTGAAAGCTCTCTGTGTAAAGACTTCTTTGCGTAAAAGTTTCTGTCTGTAAACGCGCCTGTCGGTTAAAGCTCTCTGTGTAAAGACTTCTTTGTGTAACAGCGTCTGTATGTAACAGCTTCTGTGTGCAAACGCCCTTGTTTTTGTTGTTTTGCCTTCAAAAACAGTAGTATTTGCAGTGTTTTGTGCATCTCTGGTTTCCGAAAAATGTGGCAAAACGGCATTTTAGGTACCATCAAAACGGGCCCCAGCAGAGTGAAGGATTTAAAGGCTTACGCCTGACAGCCGGGCGCCGGCCAAGCAACGATGTTTGGCTTATGGTGTGGGAGATTGGGCCGAGATTCTCCGCGCAAACCCAGGGAGGGCTATGTTGAGAACTGAGGCAGGCATAATGCGCAGTGCTTGCCTGTATGGAAGCAGTCTGGGCCTATGTTGAGCGCAGGTTGTGCCCATGTTGGGCCAAGTCGGGCCCATGTTGAGCCATCCTGGGCCCATCTTGGGCCTATGTTGGCCCAAGTTGGGCCTATGTTGGGCCCATCTTGGGCCCATGTCGGGCCTATGTTGGGCCCATGTTGGCCTATGTTGGGCCTATGTTGGCCCATGCTGCCTCTTGGGAGCGACGTTGGCCTATGTTGGGCCTACGTTGGCCCATGTTGAGGCGTTCGCATTGGCATTGTCGTTGCGCTCTTCGTTGTTGTTGTTGTTGTTGTTGCTGTTGTTGTTGTTGCTGTTGCTGTTGCTGTTGTTGTTGTTGTTGTTGCTCGCATTGCTTGCATTGCTTGCATTGTTTGCGTTGCTTGCATCATATTTTTTCCCTTACGCGCTCCCCCTTGCATTGGCCGGGGTCGGCGGATATATGTTGAGGTGTTGGAGTACTTGGAATAACCAATGGCAAAACGTCAATCAGTGACAGCTCTTGCGGTTGACGAGTTGACTGGCTCCAGGTGTTGCCAATTCTGATTTTGTCTGGCCTCGCCATTGCGGGGTGCGGAAACATTCGCTCTCTCGCCGCGTTCTTCTCCATTTGGACATACGTGGGCTGCTCAGATCTGGGGATTTTTGGGTGAGAGGCGACCAATGTCGAAACCAAGATTCATGGGATGAAATCCTAGAAATAGAACCCGTGGTGCACATTGTGCACACCATATTCATGTTGATGCCCAAGATGATCTACTCGTAGGTGACCTTTCCTAATAAAGTCTGGTATGGTCCTACATGATTGAATCATCACACATGATACACATGTGAGAAGCCAAGAACAAAGTCTTACCAGTCAGAAAAATCACGAATTACATGGACATTATGATACATTGATCAAATTCCAGTGACTATTTCCCAGAAAAATAGATACATACCAGAAAAATCGCAAATAAAATCCTGGTGAGGTCACTTTTTTCTCCTACATGTACTACACATCTGCAACCTGGTCCCTGGTTGGCTGCTTGGTGGCGGGCTTTGGTGTTTATCCCTTGATGGAACCCTGCGTCTCAGACAGCGACTTGGCCGTTGAGGGTTGAGTTTTTAAGGTGGGAAAGTCATGGAAAAACCTGGCTGTTCCGAATGATTTCATCATGGTTTCGACACGTTTGATGTGTAAAAAAAACCTAAAACCATGGTGATTTCACAATTTTCACATGAAATCACCTGAAGATTACAATGTTAGAGGCTTCATGGTCAAACAGGTGGACAGCAACTGACCCAGGTTTGGTCAAAATGGGACTTCGGGTCCCAGGAGTTGAGCAACCGAAGGTGGTGAATTGATCGAAAGAAAACATGTTTTTTTTTTACCAACGATTTTTGTTGTTCTATGTGTTTTCTAAATTCATGATTTGAGTTTTTTTTTAACAGGATATAGATAGTTTATGATAGTTTAAGGTTAGGAGGGGAAGGCTGGTATTGGATTTCTGACTGCTACAACACGCACAGAGATACAAAGGTTTCGCCCCAAATTGGGGTGATGAAAGCTCTTAGTATTTTTCCAGGCGAAGCTGATCAGCAAATCCTTTGAAAAGCGGCAACTGCAGCTATTCATTGAATTCGTTTCCGAGTATGATAAGCCCCAAGTAATATTGGATAGGTATAGACCCATATAAACCCATTATAAACCCATTATAAACCCATTATTTTGACAGTAATGGATAGATATGGATAGTATATACTGATAATTTTCATCAACCAAGCCCTCAAGAGTATCAGATCGCCACGGCTCACAACGCAACGGACTTTGAGGCCCCAGCCTCAGTGGAAATGTGTTGCAAACGCGCTACTCCGAGCACCTGGGACATGAACAGAGCGCTTGGAGAGTTCGGAATCCGCAGATCTGAAACCTGTGAAGCTGTGATAACCTGTGAAGCTTGTCACGAAATGCCTGAAACCTGTGAGGTTGGGTATGATCACAATGGCAGTGGCCGTGCAAATGTTGATCGATACCTTGTTGAAACGACAAGGGCCCGCAGAAGTTGCGGTACCTTGACAGCGATGGCGGGAAATTATTCACATGTCCATTGGCAGAAAACCATTTGAAAAGGGTTCATCTTTCAAAATCAATGATTTCATGACTTTGTACAGTAAAATCAATCAGTAAACAGGGGAAGCGGTTCCAGATGGTTCCAGGGGAAGCGGGGGTTCACCCGGTGGTTCGTTTCTCTCCGGCTCCAGGTCACCGAGATGCAAGCGCTGTTGGATCGTATCTTCTTGGGCTACAACGATCGAATGTCTGGGCTCCAGGCGATCTTAAGGCCTTGGATTGGGATGGTGGGATGTGGGAAGCAGCGATGAAACATGATGAAACATGATGAAACATGATGGCGGATGGCCAAGGGGTTGATGGCTTATGATAGTTATGATTTGTGGAAATCCAAGGATGAAACAAACAAGCTATGAAAAACCAATCTTCGGGATGTTTCTCGTTTTGATGCACAAAAATTGTCACCAATGGATGCAGATTCCCTTGAAAATAAGGGATACTCGGGAGGGATTGGGATCAAGAGATCTCCACCAAGGAGCAATCTGCCAGATGCTTGGTGGCACCGCAAAAGTCACCAGCTCTTGGGATGTCCACTCTCAGTATGTCCCCATTCCTGGATTTGAAATCACTAAATTCCTGAAGCCCGGATTTCGAAACCCTGCAGTAATTTCAGATACTGTATTTGAGATTATTTGAAGAATTTCTAGGACCCAGAAATTCATGTCAAAATTTGAGTGAATTCCATTTAATTCCTGAAACCCGGACTTCCCTACCTCAATAGGTTTCCGCAGATCATTTTTTGTTGAGATTTTCCGATGAACTGAGGACTTGCAAAATGCATTGATCGAGGCAGAGACCTGCATGTCTCGTGCCAAGCTGCTGTGCGTAGAGGCCGCCAAGGGGAATTGGTTTCTGCGGTGAATTCTTGGGAAACCATAGGCAACCCTTGCAGTGCATGGATTTGGCGTCCAGTGTTTGATGTAAAATAATGTATACATGAAGGCTCTGTCCATACTAATTCAGGTTTTGGATGGTAAACTTGGTAAATGTTTTGAAGTTTGAAGTGCTTTGGACTTTCAAAATTCTGTCCCCAAAATCTGGAGCGTTTCAGCGTTGCCCATGGTGCTGTGATTGGGAGATTCTGCAGGCTGATCCGAAGCAAATGATCATGGCGGGGCCCCACACGCCCTTCAGAATAGAGTCGCACGATTGCACAGGGCTGGGTGCTGGGCCGCTGGGCGGTGTGTTGTAGATGCCGATCCTAAAGTCAACTGGTTGTGGCTGGAAAGTTGCAGGGAAAATCATGGAAAACTACTCGGGCACCCAGATTGGACACCCAGATGCGCGCCACTGAGTCTGTACAAAGCTGCGCTAGACATTCTACAAGGCACCTGTGGGTTGGAGAACTCGCTGATGCTATGGAGCCCCGAAAACCAGTGAGAAGCAACAGGTGTTGATTTCCATCTCCTGGTGCAGGCTGCATGACGTGCTTGAACCTGGTGATCATCAGCGAAAAGGTTTGGATTGTGTTCCTTGGTCCAATATGGCTGGGGCGGTGCAACATGCCATGGATGGGGAAAGTCACCGCTGATTTCAGATGGAAGATTTGCGGACTTCCCAAGTTGCCCAAGTGCCTTTTTTCCCTACATGTTTGTTTTCTTTATGTGTTCATTTTCTTGGTATGATGAAATTTATGCACATATATATATATATATTTATGCCATTTTATGCCCCCATTTCGTGAAATCACCCTGCCATGCTGAGGAACGCGTCAGTTCGCGAGGTGGATGATGAAGAAGCCAATGAGGAGTTTGCCATGACGCCCAATGGTGGAACCATTGCCTCGTGGCTGACGGTTACCGTGGACCCGTTTCACTGAGGGCCCGGAACATCTCGGCAGTTTGTTATCAAAAGTTATTCACCAACAAATTACAGCCGAGATGTTTATGATCAGATGACGATAGTTTACCAAATAAACATAAACGTAAAACATCGTCGTGTCATGTCAATCTATCAGTTGTTTTTTAAACGAGAATTCCGCCGCAAGCGCTTTTGTTGTTCGCTCAAGGCGTATTCCAGCGCCGAGAACCATAGCGTGCTCCAGATTGCCACACGGACCATGGAGAGTCTCATGATCAACGTGGAGGACCATCCCGAAGAACGATGAAACCTCCTGAGTGCTGATCCAAATTCATCCAATTTCCACAATATTGACATAAGGCCAATGCCATAAACAACCATCCTTAGAGGTTTATTGTTGGCTTTCATTGGCTTTCATGGCTTCAATTTTGTGATCTAAGTGTGGATGTTTCCTTTTGTGCTGATTCTTAAAAGACACCACTTCATCAATAGCATTTGAAATACCATGAATTCTGGGTGTTTCACATCCATTTACCAATCATCTACCGGCCCTTGGGGTTTCACCAGGGCTCTTTTTATAGCCGTCCAGGACGACATTTTGCACACCGTGGACCAGGTCTCTGATGCGCTGCAGGCCATTTTAAGGCACCGCATCGAAGCCAAGTTGGACCACCCGTGGGGGCGCCCAGCGGGCAACGCGACGAATCAAGACGGTGGGGATGGTCATATGCTGTATATGATTAGCATGTTTTGTTTATCACTAATATATATATATTAATATACATGCTACATGTGTTTTGTCAGTGATCTATATTTTGGTTAAGGATTTGGCCAGGTTGCTGATGGAAGAATTACTCGAGATAGCATCCTCGCCCGTCAGGAGTGTGCATGAGCTGGCCAATATGAAACTGCTGGATCAGCGCTTGCCTTGGTGTCCAACTCTCCTGCAAAAACTCGGCAGCTGAAACGTGAGATCTGCCTCGATGCATTCACTGCGGCTTCACCGGGGGATCTGCACCTGAGGTATTTCACATCATCAAGGATCGACAAGTGGTTGATTCAGGCTGCGAACTTGCTGTGAACTTCGAAACGGGTAGCCTTTGTGGGAAGTCTGAAAATGGGGTACACTAAAATAACCATTTACTAGGAGAAATAATGATAAACCAGTGGATTGAGGGATTTTAGATTATTTTAGGGTATATAAAACCCATGTTCAGACAAACCCATATCAAAGATAGCAAAAGACACAGATCTTCCCCAAAGACTGTTTTGTACAGCAACAAGGTACCACGCTGGTTCAGCAGACATCCTTTTGTTGCATATTGGAAGCTGTGAGGTTGGGAAAGAGACCGAGCACATCCATACAGATCGTCATGAGCTCACCAACAACCTCCAAGCGAGGTTAGTGGCCACCTGTCAGCACCTATGTCGCTCTTGGGCTTTATTTTTTAGTGCCAGAGGTTTTTTGTTACACCAAACTAGCAGTGTGTCAACAGTCAACAAATATGAGCGCTCTGGTTATTTAACATAGCCAAGGAAAATGGCCCATTTATAGATAGTTTACCTATTAAAAATGGTGATTTTCCATGGCTATGTTAAACAACCAGATGGTAGCGCTCTAGCTGTCAGTTGTATCTCCAGTGTATGGTGGTAGCTCATTGCCCCAGGTCGGAACACGAGCCATTGCGCAGATGCCTCAGTCGTTGGGCACTGCCTTCAGGAGAGTCGCCAAGATCTTGTGTCAAAATCAGAGACAACTTGGAAAAGCTAGGTTCATCCATTTGAGTATGCCCTGTATGGCTCAGAATTGTTGACCCATTTTCGAGATGGTTACCCTCTGATGATTTCGCAGTCGAGCTAAATGAGCCATGGCTTCCCGCAAGCTGCAGTCAGGCAGCTCCATTGGAAAGTTGCGCAGCTGCACTCGCAACTTGGCCAAAAAAAATGGGACAAACGAGGGGATATGATGGGCAAATCAGGACATAATGAGAACACCATGGATATATCCTGGACAATATGATGACATGAATCATGGGGATGAAACCAAGCATTGATGGGGATTGTTGGGTCAATACACCACCAATACACGGGTTTTTTCCCTCTTTTAAAATAGCCTCATTGGGATGAAAAATCCCAAGCGCCCATCAATTCCCATCAATCCATGGAATGATGGGGATTTTCCAGCCAGGTTTGACAACGGAGCTATGTAAAGATTGGTACCGCACAGGGTATGTCGAAGGGAGAACCGAAGCCATCCATAGCCATCCATAGCCATCCATAGCCATCCACCACTTCATGGTCTGTTGTTGTTGTTGTTGTTGTTGTTGTATGGATGGGGGAAATCAGCAGTGGGTGGCGTAGGCCCGCATGTCCGCGATGTGGCTGCTATCAACGAACATTCGGAAAACGTCAGAAGTATATGATGAAAGCAACACTTGATCATGATGGCAGAACGAAGAATACTTGGGATGAAGCCAATGATCATAGAGATATCTTCGGTTTGAGCCATACTCCTACATAGCGAAGGTTGAAGTTGGGACACGAAACATTCAGAACCCACGAAAAAAATGTAGGTTTAGGTAGGAATCTGAACCATTCAATCATCTAAAACAACTGTTTCAGTTCCAGACGGGTCCATCCCAAAATGTGCGGGCCGCGGGGATCTCAGGCTCTGCCTAAAAGCCAACGTGGTGTGATCACAGCACACGCGCCGTCGGTGTGTGGCGAAGTCCTGCTGATGGGGATGAGTTCAGTTGGAACTATGGAAAATCCATCATTTTTTCATGGGCAAATCCACTATTTCGACTGGGCCATTTTCAATAGCAAACTGTGAATGTTTACCAGAGGGTATATGGGTTCACATTTGAAGTTCTAATGTGCCGACTAAGATGGTCAGGTGGAAATTCTAATGTGTTTGGCGACTGATGTTGATTGCGAGTAGAGACTTGGAACCGCACTGTGGATAGGAGCTGTAACAGAAACCAAGGAAGTAACAAAACATGGCTTTGCAGCTACAAATTTACAGCCACAAGACAAGCAATGATAGTAGATGATAGTCTAATGATAGTAGATTATAGTAGATGATAGTAGATGATAGTAGATGATAATGACAGTATTAAACCTAAAAATCAAGTACTAATCACCTCCAGGAATTCAAATCAAGCCGGACTGTCCCGATCAGCCGGACTGCAGCGCATAGTTTATGTGACCTGACAAAGATCAGGCTAGTCCTCCGTGTCCTCCGTGCTCCACTTCAAACATCTCGAAACTGAGGGCCCTAGGGACCCTAGCCATTGGTTCTTTGACGTTTCTGTGCAATCCAATGACAAAACAGATAGAGTTTGAGAGTCTTCAAGTTCTTTTTTGTCTTTCATCCACGATCTCAGCAAAAAAAGGGGGCGGTGCCGGTGGATTGCGTCCACAGAAATCATTGTTTGTGCTGGAAAAGTGAGTTGCCGGTGGCTTGGAAGGAAAGCTGTTTGAACTCTTGTTTATCCACAAATCCGAGCTCAGAAGTCACTCATGGCATGCCATGGCGCTCTGATGTGCTGACTTCTGACCTCGAAACATGCCCAGACTTTTGCAGTGAACATGCAAAGGGAACTTCTGATCTGAGAGATTGTCCGCTGGCTTTTGCTGGAATCAGAAACGTGTTTTGATCAGTTGGAGAAAACAGGTGAGTGACAGACACTGGTTTCATACACAATGTCAAAGATCATCCATGGAATTTGATGGGCTGGCCGATCGAAGAGGCTGGGTTTTGATTTGGTTGCGTCTCAAGTGGGGTAAATCCGAAATTGGAATTTCAAGGGGAAAATGATGAGGGTTGGATTGGGGGTACGAAATTTTGAGACACACCCATTTGGTGGAGTCATTTTGTCTCGCAGAAGCAGACGCATCCCAACAAAGCAAACGTCAAGGCTTGGATTAAGCTAGAGCGGGAAAGATGAATTTTCTGCCACCTCCAACCCAAGGGTGATTTGTCGGGCATGGGGTGCAAGTAACAGAAGATAGCAAGAAATTACAAGGGCCATAAGGGTCAGTGCAGAAGGAATGTGATAAGATGAAGAGCAGCAAAAGGAAACCTGGGACATTGCACAAACTGCAGTCCTGCGGCACAACCGCTGGGGAAGCATGTCACAGACCCCTGGGGCAGCCTCAGTGCCAAGACAAACAATCACAAGCGGAAAAACGCTCCAGAATGGCCTCCTGGTAGCTTTTGTTGTTGAGACCACAGCATAGACTATAAATCGGCAGCTGCTAGACTGCTGAAGATCTGTATATTTACTAGATGCACATCATGAACAGACGCAGATACGCATGTCGTCACGCCAGGTTCAGCTGTACAAGCCCAACAGGTACCCGGCCTGAGGCCTGACGGCTTGGCTGGTGTAAACATCATCACTGGATGGGAAGAATATGGTTTTCCAGTAGATCTGATGTTGAACAAGCATCTTGGAGGAATTTGGAAGACCACAGGTTTTGACCTGATTGATGGTTGTAGATATGTTATATTAGGAGGTTCTAGTATAAAATTCGTCAAACCATTTTGAAAACATTTTCAGAGAAGTAGTGTCATCCATCAAGTGGAAGGAACCAATCCTCAGCGGTCCTGCTCATAATTGTTCATGGAGGTTAGCTGGATTGGGTACTTGGATATGGAGAACAGAATTGGCCTGGAAGTCGACTTTGTTTGATGGGCTACTGTGTTTAAAGGTAGCATTACTCATTCAGCGGTTCATCTAAAAACATGCGTTTCGTTTTTCACTGAGAGAATCACAACAGTTCATAGGAATCAACCTATATATTTCCGAATATTGTATACGTCACTAGGCAACAGAGCAATGCACCCTGCTAGTCATTTTCCAATTTGGTACCTGAGCGGCTCGAAGCTCCAATTGATAGTCTCTGCACCTGGTTGAGGTGGTACCTCTAGGTGTAGGGCTTTCAACATGACTCTGTGGGCTGACTGGAATGTATCAACATGACACATGTGTAGATTGTAATTATATTATGGTTGGAGGGCCATAAGGGGGGCTAGACAGGAACCGTGGCAGAAGGGTGTTTAAGTTCGATCATGTAGGTACATAAAGGGGGTTTATCATGGGGACCCCACAACGGTTCATTTGAGGTCCTTTTGAGGTCCATTTGAGATCGTTAATTGTATTCTATTGTTTTTCCATAGGTAGGAGGTAAATTTGAAGACCTTCAACATCTAATTTTACATTTATTTGAAGTGCAAGGAATTTCCAGCAATTTGCAAGGAAGGATATACCTTCTATACTTCTATGTTACATGTGGAAATGATTTTTAAAAAAAAACGCAAAAAAAGTGTAGAATGTATTGGAAATACCAAGCAATTTGGGTCCTACAAACTTTCAGTTTGCATTTTTTGATTTTCTGCAATTCTGCAGCTATTTGCAGACCTTCACACTACAACTTCACATTTGTTTTTCATTGTCTTGCACTTTTTCAAAAAGGCAATCGTACATTTTGAACGCCCCCCCTGCGTTTTTTAAGAACATAAATGAAATCCCGTAAAGAGTGGGGGACCTACTAAAATGAAATCTTGCAAATAGAACGCAGTTAGAAAAATAAATGCTTGCTGACATTTACCAGGCCCCCCTCCCTCAAAAACGTTTAAATTGTGTCTTGCAATTTGGGTATGTTCCCCCCCTTAAAAGGGTAGTGATTATATATGTTTATATATATATATATACAAACATACATACATACATACATACTGCGAAGGGGAACGAGGTAACAGTGTAGCTGCACATGATGAACATGTGTACAGTCATGCATGGACCGCCAATGATATTGGCTCAAGTCCTGCGCGAGGAAAATAAGACCGCTCTCCGCTTGCCATGCACTGAGGTTGCCCGGCACTATCAGCATTACTGGTACTACATACAAAAGGGATAATCCAGAACAAGGATCAAATTGTTCACAGGTTATCAGCCGTAGGGCTCACTTCTCCCGTCGGGAGGGTGGTACCTGCGTGCTGGTAGCCGGGCCTTCTGAGCAATTGATTGAGGACGCAAAGGACCAATCAGCTCATCATCGCAAAGATGCAAGGCGGTAGTGGAGATTCGCGCACCACACAGTTTACCTTCAACGAAAACACTGCTATGCCGGTCGAGGAGGTCAATCAGTCTTCCCCTGGTGACACGGCAGACAGTGGTGGGATACGCTCTACCCGAACTACACAGTCCGGATGGCAAGTAACGACAAACAGACGAAGGATATCCACCCAAAGTACACCAAGATCTTCTCGAAACAGTCCTCGGAGTGATGTTGTCCGCCAAGGGCATCGACCATCTCGAGGACGAACTACTCCTAGGGACAGATCCACCAGGGCCGTGACTGACCGAATTGGTGAGAGGACCGGGGATAGTCGTGTTAAGAGGAGATCAACGGATACTTCTGTGGCTAGTGAACCTATTGCCATGATAGAAGAACTACGGGCACAATGTCAATCCCTACGTAGTCAGTTGAACCAAATGGAAGCATACGCCGCATCTAGAGATCAACTGATTCATGACATCGAGATTAGATTCACCGAGTATCTTCAGGAACACAACCAGAATGTATTTGATGAAGTCAGTGCACTCAATCATAGATTGTCACGTTCCGCGAATGAGGTTGCAGAATATCAAGCAGAATTAATGGTAGCATCTCAGGAAGATGAAGGTGCAACAATACGCATCCAAGACCTTGAGCGCCGAGGTGCCCTAATGGAACATGGTGCACGACGGATCCATCAACGTGGTATGGAGATCCAGGAGGAGTACAAGGATGAAGTACATCACCT